TTTTTGGTTATTGTTACTAACAAAGTGTTACACTCCCTCTCTCTTTCTTTTAACCCCTTCTCACTATAAGTTTTAAATCCCCATGACTGTAATGCTCTCACACACACACAGCTTGACACTCTCCAATCAAGTTATTGTCCCAAACCTCACCTGTCTGTTGCATTTTGTTACACCTGTGTTACATTACATGTGCGCTCTATGGTAACTACATGTTTTTAAACTTCGTGTTTGTGCTCACGTTTTCTGATGGTCGCTCACGCGGTTCCTCAGCACATTAATCTGGAACGAAGACAACATTGTGTTACACTCTGACCAGGTCTCACTGATGTCTTTATGTCTTCTATTAGTTGAGCGCACCTCGTATTTCTGTCTGGTGAATTGGTACTGCAGATCAAACTTCTCTGCCTCCAGCTGCTGGATCCACTCCCACAGCTCCGTAGCTTTCTCTCTGGAAAACAAATGATTATAACGAGAATTATTTTCATTGTTTTATTATTTTAATTTTGTGTGTCGTGAAGAAAAAATGCAATAGCTATTGTGTGATATAATGAAACATGCAGTGGGAGAAATAATTATTTGATGCTCTGCTGAATTTGTTTGCTTACTTACAAAGAAATGAAGAGTCTCTATTTTTATGGTAGTATTTGTTTTAATGGAGGGAGACAGAATATTAACTAACAATTGAGTTGAGGTAGTGGATGATTCATTTGTGGTTCATATTCGTCTCTCTCCATTAAAATGAAACCACATTTCTTTGTAAGTGAACAAACCTACAAATCTAAATCTGTCCGTCTGAACCTACTTGAGTCTTTCCTGACTCATGTTCTCGATGTCCAGAGATTTGCGCCTTTCATTCAGGATCTTCTTCTTCTTTTCTCTCTCCGTCTGCCTCTTGCCACTCCGTTTGTCTGTCTTTAAAAATAAAATCATTTCTGTTATAAAAGTTATTAGTGGAGCTTTTTGGAAAGCTGTTAAAACTCCACTGACTCACCAGCTTCTGCATGTAACCTCCAAAGTGGAGGCTGGTGAGGGTTTTCTTTTTCTTTGCATCATCCTCTGCCCTCTTTTTGGCCTCCTCCTCCTCCTTGCGAATCCTCTCATCCTAGAACGAGAGAAAGACGATCCGAGGTGAAATGTGTGCCGCTTTATAGACTGTGTTAAAGCGCGTTGAACAGGACTCTACCTCCAGACGCTTCTGTCGCTCTTTATCTCGCTCGCTGCGAATCCTGTGCTGCTCTGCTCGCTCAGAGCGACGCGTCTCCTGAGCAACAGATCATCACATCAAAACAGACCCTAAAGCAGATCTGTGATGTCTGAAGTGGTTTACATTCGACCGGCTGTAGTGTGGTGCACTCACAATCCTTTCTTTGAGATGAATGAGCTCTTCTTCTTCCTTCTTTCTGCTTTCGAAGTGAACCTCGATTAGAGTTTGAAGCTCCATCAGGTCCTTCTCCATTCTCTTGCGATGTATATCCTGTTGGATTCAGTGACCCAGTTCTGTGTTATACTGATGCACATATTTGTTTTTGGTCCTAAAATAAAAGCAGGCTTAGACAAAGCTAGAAATACACAGAGTGAAAGCTGTGAAGACATGTCTGCTCCACCCTGAGACCTGTACTTATTTAACTCTACATAATACACCAGGATACAAACGTCCATGCACAGTAAGTACTGGATTGTGTCACTTACATCAAAATCCACCCTCTCGCCGTCTGGGATCTTAGGGGGAATAAGGTTTGGCATGATGAATGGCCTGAAAAAACAGGAAAAGATATTAAGTTAGCCAGCGTGGGTTAAATAAGAACAATTCAGTTAAAAAAAAAAGATCAATAACAGGGAAATTTAGCTGTGATGACAGCTGGTGTCAAATGAGGATCAAAAACAATAAGCATGTGCCAAAGAAATGTCCCCTCGGTGTTTCCACGTGTTGCTGCCTGTTGCTGCTCAGAAGGAGCTGCATGTCTG